ATATGTTTTGAAACTAGTCCGTTTGTGTGATTCTTCTAGAAATCCTACACTTTTTACGATGAAATTAATACGCAGGACTCGTCACTGTGGATATTTGTTTCGGTGTGTGCTGTCCCTGTGCCAAGGCACCGCTTCTTGATGCGTGGAATTTGAGCCAGGCATCATAACCATAAACTACCATAGCGCAGAATCCAAAAAACTACGGTGAGATATATAAAAATATTAAAAAAAAAAAAAAGCATCCAACTATTTAAAATAAGCGATTTCTCGAATTATATAGTCCGTATGAAATTAATTTATCACTTACGTGTTTACTCTGGATAACTAATTGACTTTGGATAGATAGTAAACACAGACTTATATATAGTGTAATTCGAAAGAGAATACTCATTTAGCATCAATCAAGATTTTCAACTTTCAGCAGAAATTTCAAAAACTTACTGCTGCAGCTCCAAAAGCTTCTATATATGCGGCATGACCAGCTGCAAGAGAAGCGGCCAGCATGTAAAAAATAGTCCAAAGTCCACAAAATATAAATTCCTACAAATAAAAATATAAAGCCACATCACTCTGTCAATATCTTTAATTATCGTTATTTCTCAAAGTAAAATATTGAATAAAATATTACGCAACAGGCATAACAGGATTAAGTCGTATTGTTGATATAGTTTGAATATAGCGTGTTATAACATAAAATGTCCTAGTTCCAACTAAGATCAATATTTTACCTTCAAGTAAAAGCATTAACTTGCACGTTAACAGACTTTTACTCAAGATATATTTCTTTTGTCAAAAAATATGAAAACTATACTTTGCCTGAACTTACAATTTTTAACCAAGGAACTTTCGAGAATTTTTCAATGATATGGAACAAGTAAAAAACGAGCAATATCCCGGTAAACCAAAAACCAATCATGGCTACAGTGTTGAACCATGCTCCACGACTACTATTGCTCTGACTCGACACCGTGATACATATGAAACCTAAAAGATTTAAGGCCTACAAAAAAAAAAA